CGACAGCAGAGGCGCGAGCAGCCAATTTCAAGGGCGGCGGCGGCGGGGGGGGGGGCGGGCTGCACCTTTACCTTTTCGCGAGCCGCAACCTCTAGCGGCTGCACGGCGTACGCGAACTGGTGTACGTGCGACGTGCGGTGAGCCTTAAAACAAAAAACACGGCCAATCGTCCCGCGCCGATTTTGCGAAGCGTGCGAATCGATTGGGAATTTACGAGCGGGCGGGCAGGCGGTCGGGCAAACGCGGATGGGCGCACGCGCACTGGCGCGTTGGTGAGTCCCCACCAGCAGCTGTGTCGCACGGACGGACGACGAGCGCATGCTTACGCTGGCCTTCGCCTGCTCCGCGGAGCACGTGGCCACCCTGGCCCTTGTTGAATATTTCCCGGTCGGGCTACGGCCACCCTCAAGGGGGTGGGAGGGGGGTGGGGTTTGGCCGGTCAGCGGTACCGCCTACAGATGAAAAAAACACACACTAAAAACGCAGCCGCCTGGCAGTAACAGTCAGCAGATTGTATTAAGGCAAATTAGCAACAGCAGCATATCGCGGCCATCTGTTGTTGCGGGAACAAGGCGGAGTTTTATTTATTTATTTGGTGTTTTGATTCGGCATTGAGAGTCGGTTCGACTGCGAGTGGTTGGTGGTTGGACTTTGTGTAAGGAAGCATCCCGTTCATCGGTTGCAAGCAGTTGTTGCGTTTTCTGGGTGCTGCTGCTGCACGCACTTAATGATGATCAACATTTATTTGTCCTTTTGCCTACGTTGCATGTAATGGGTTTACGTTACCCACTGCGGCCACTAGAGGCGCTACGTTCATAACGAAGTTATGGAATCGATTTGTCAGGGGTTTAATCGTGGCGTCAATTCATGACATTCGCTAGAATGAGACGTTTTGGCCTGTTCAGTTGATGAGCGTTTGGCCTGAACAACAGGTTATTTTTTTCTTATATATCGTACATTACGATGCAGCATTCTCACTGCGTTGCTCAAATCGTATCACGGGACGAGAAAACGATTCGACGGACAGCCGCGGGAGTCGCCACCCATCCTAGGTGCCCATCTACGACCGTTCAAGCCCTCGTGTTTGTCTCGTGGGCTGCACCCTCGCACCATCGCAAGTGTTTGAAGAAGTGTCCGCGACGGGTTGGGAAATGGACTCCACAGACGGCGGTGCGTCGCACGGGGGCCCCCCCCCCACGTGGGGCGGAGACTGGGGATGACTGTGGGCCCTCAGTGGGCCCACCGCGCGCTCCTCCAGGGGTGGGTGCGGCGGCACGTGATTGCCGGCTGGCGACAGACTATGTTGAGAGCGAGTGGAGTGTAACCCTGTCACCCCAGGGGCACCCACGCTCGCTCTATCTCTCTCCTTCCGCGTTGTATGTATGTTGAACTTTTTTTGCCACTGTACGTAGCCAACCGTGCTCAAAGGACAACAAACTAAACAGAAAAAGCAGTACTAAAGGGATTCGTTTCTCAATGTAAATTATTTAAAAGTACATAGCTCCAGTGGCTTCCTAATATCGGAAGGAAGAGCGTTCCAGACGGCCGCAGTAGCGAATTTGATTGCGCACAATGCAGTGATGGTTAGCCAAAAGCCGTTGCGAGGATGACCGGAGTGTGTGTGAGGTTTATGCTCCTTGACGAAATCAGCAATCCCTGCCTCCTTGGCATTTCAACATTCACCACTCTACCTCCGCCTCCCGCCCCCTGTAATGCAATGAATTGTCACGATTCCGGTGATGCGTTTCGTTTCAAGAACAGCCAATTTACTTTTCGAATATTTGGCATTATTTTGCCGTGATTAACGCTTAATTGTCACTTTTGCACAAATATTAAACTGTCGTCATGCGTACGCTTGAATCCCGCGTCTTTAACAATCTATTTAAACGATGCGTCGTACAAAATGATACAGTATTTTAATTGTGTTGCTGGGAGCCACACCCATCCTAGGTGTTCGTCTTCGAGGTTAGAGCCCTTGTACTTGTCTCGGTTGCATCTTCATTTCATCGCAAGTGTTTAAAAAAAGTGTCTGCGACGGGTTGGGAAATGGACTTCAGACGGCGGTGGGTCGCATGGGCCCCCCCCCCCTCTTCGCCCCCCCCCCCCCCAATGGGGCGCGACTGGGGGTGACTGTGGGCCCCCTTAAAGACACCACAGTTTAAATTTCGATTTAAAGCTTTCGTGACTGCAGGGATTCATCTTCTTGGTTCTTTCGGTAAAGTCACGTAGAAGAGAAATAATAAAATAATAAAAATAAAACATAAAATAATTCTGACCAGAGTGTCCGTGAAGAACAGGTCTGTCTTTCCGACAGACCTGGTCTTCACCTAAGGACGGCTGCTTGTGTTGTGGCCGAAACGTCATGAGAATTATTTTATAATGTTTTATTTTTATTATTTTATTATTTCCCTTCTACGTGACTTTACGGAAAGAACCAAGAAGATGAACACAACAGTTTGTTATTTGGACCGTGCTTCCCGCGTCCCTGTACAGCCCTGTTGTCGATCCGCTGCTGGGTGGCAGGAGGCCTCCGCACGCCGTGTGCGTCACTGCGGATTGTTTGCCCACAATCCACCACCCTAGTCAGTGGGCGTGTTAATAATACTAGATTTGAAGCTTTCGTGACTGCAAGGATTCATATTCTTGGGTTTTTTCGGTAAAAAATTCTAATTAATAAAAGTATTTTATTTTTATTTTACTTTTAATTTAAATGTTTTACCTACGTGACTTTACCGACAAAACCCAAGAATATGTGTTAATAATAGCGCCGTATATTTTTTTTGTTACATGTCGCAAAAAAAGTCCGCTTTCGACTTTATGCAAAGGGGGGGATGTCCTAATTTTTCCCACCCTGGAGAAGGGTGGGGGGGGATGGTAGCGATGATTGGGCCGATTCGATCCCTAACCAAATGGAGTTACCTCGCAGCCGTTTCCCCCCCGCCGTTCGTCGGGGCGCTCCACTCTGAATAATTGTTGCACTGCTCGTGGGACAATGTGCGGGGTCGGATCAATAGGGAATAAATAGCGAAGCGGTTTGTTTACTTGCCGAAATGAAATGGCGTTTAGCACATTGACCAATGGACGTCGCGGATCGATGCATTACGGCGGCGTTTGTTTAAACACGGCAAACCCCGAGCGATGCATTAAATGACTCGTCGATGCAGGTGATTTCATTTCAACAAGTAGGCAAACATCTCGTTTCTGTTTTATTTGCCTCCTGTATATAACATGTGCCGAGTTGAATTATATTAACCCGGCTCCTGCCCTTTCGCGAACGTGCACGGTTGTTTCTTTTCTTAAGTCAGTGACCAGCGAGCTCATTGAGCAGCACCGTCTCTCCTTGCGCCACCCTGGAGGGTGAGCTGAGACATTGTGATTGGACACAGGCTATCTGCTGCTGGATGAAGGCTTCCCCATGCCGCCGCCATTCCTAACGTTCATGCGATGCCACAATCTTAACCGGTTTCATCGCTCGTCACACCACTACCTCTGTGGATGTGGTCCCCTTATTCTCCACTCTCGTCCGTCGGCCCTCATCCCTCCCTCCGAGTCACGTGACCTGCCCTGGCGCATTTTCCTTCTCTTAACTTTGAATATAATGTGTCTGCCCTGTGTTTGTTCTCTGCAAGGTGAGCCGCCCTTTCTGTTTCTAAGTGTGATTCTGAACATGTAGCCATCCACGCGCTTCTTTGCGTCGCTTTGAAAGCTGAGACCCGAGTAAAGACATTTCACCCAAGGCAGGGGCACGGTTGATGGAATGCTCACATTCGTTCTGTGTCGAGCAGTAGCCTTTGACCGAATCACCTGGAATGTGCCCGAGCTCGTCAGATGTTGGGAGCCAGCGGGTGAGAGCTGGGATGGGTGCTTGCGCAAAATCTTCTTTTATTCAGTCGGTGTTGTGGGATATGAAGCAGAATCCATTAGTTTTTCTGGTCTCCTCCCACCTTAAACTTGTACGGTGAAGTATGGTGAAATATAGCTCACGGGTCCGCAAGATGCACGGAGGCCTTCATCCAGCAGTGGGTTTACAAAAAGGTCCCGCAACATCTACACGTACGTACAAGAGCTCCCTGTCGACACATTCCGTCATGCGCGCCGCTGTCGCGGCACGTGACCTTGTGGCTGCTCATAACGGGCGCTGGCCCCCAGCGTCATTATATATTCATTGCTGGTCTCCCTATCGGACGAATGAGTGGCAACCACACTCGGCGCTCGCTGGCCACACTCATGTTCTCACCGTGACCCGGATGCCACTGGCGCATGGTGCCGCCCGTCTCGGACCCGCCGTTGATCGGCTTCGGTCGGGAGAGGTTGCTGCCTTGGTGTCGTGTGTCTTTGTGCCTCTCTGGAGGTCTCGGTGAAACAAGGCGTGCTCGTAAACGCGTGTCGGAGGAACCATTAACTTACAGCTGCTCGGGGGCACAGGCTCACCTGTGTGTGTGGTTGTGAGTTTTTAGGGTTCTTTTCTTTGTATTTCCCATAAAAAAAATTTAGATGAAGCTGTTTTGGGGAATGACCAATTATAATGTTTTGTCTTAATATAAAGTAAAAAAAAAACTTGTTGCCAGTTTGCTTTTGTTTTGTCAAATGCTTGTGAATGGTGACTTCAGGGTGCACACCTGTGAATGACGATGTTCGAAATGAAAGTGCAAATCGATGGGGCAACACGCATCGCGAGGATGACATCTCATGACGACATCTCATGGTGTCATTCGAAAAAGCGTAGGCCGGCGTGTACCAGTATCACGGTCCAAAATTATGAGAAATTACTACATTTGGAAGCCATATAGCAACGTCCGTCCCTCTGCCGGCAGGCTAATGCTGACTTGAAGTCCGGTGCTGGGTTCACCACATGCCTCACATGGGGCCCTCTGTAGCAGGGCACCTCAAGATGTGCTGCATGGGAGGCCTGTGATAAATATTAAGTGACGATCATGATCATCATGATGATGATGAAATGATCCGGCTCTGACCCACAACCTCCCGTTTTTGTCTTCTAGGGCCGCCCCAAAGTGTTCAAGCACTGCGAGCCAGAGCTGGAGGGAGCCCACGCAACGCAGGGGGAGCCGACGTTGGACGGCACCGACGGCACCGGCGGCACCGGCTCCCCTGCCGGCGAGCTCTCGCGGGGGGCACAGGAGAGAACCGCCGGGTTCCACCGACCGTTGCTGGGGCCGGGACGACGCGCGTTTGGGGACCGACTGCCTCGGCGCGCTCGATGGAGCCGCGGCGCCGAACTGTGCACCCCAGATTCTGCCGCGGCCTGCGCTTGCCGGACGTGGACCCCGGGCAGCGACGTCGTCTTCCAGAGCGGCCGCGAGGGCCTCCGCGTGCGCCGAATTGAGCGGCGGCGGCGGCGTTCAAGCCGACCGCAGGATCGCTGCAAAGATGGAGGCGCCGGGCGAGGAAGGAGCGACTGGCGCAGAGGCCCGACCGAGGCCCGGCGAGGCCCGTGCTGTTGTGGCGAGCCGCTTCCGGAAAAGCAAAGTGGCGTACCTGTCATCGGCGTCCGAAGATAGCCAGGAGGAGGAGGAGGAGACCGCGTCTTCCGGCGTCTCGCGTGCCGCCGCTACCACCACCGCCGCCGTCGCCACATCGACGGACAAAGCGCGTAAACCTGGCGGCGCCCAGGCCCTGCCCACCGGCAAGCGGGACGTCCCGTCCGGGTGCCTCGGCGGCCCCGCGGAGGAGCGGTGCGGCGGGCTGCCGGCGAGGCCCACCACGGCCGACGGTGCCGCGTCGGCGCTTCGCCACACGGAGGACTTGGCCGCGGCGCTGCAGCCCGCGCTGCAGAGTTGCGACGGCCGCAAGGACGGCGAGCCGCGCGTGCCGAGCCTGCCGCCGGAGCCCCGGGAGCACCGCGGGTCGAGGCACGGCTCTCCCGAGCCTCCCCGGCTCGTGCGGGAGGGCTCCTTCGAGGACGGCAAAGCGGAGGTTTTGGCCGACGCGCCCGGCTGCGACGCGGGGCCGCGGCGGACCGGCGACGTTTGCGCAAAGGCCTCGGCGAGGACGAAAAACGTGAAGAGGAAGGCGGTGCACGGCCACAGGCCGAGTTCCATCATCGGGGGCCAGAGCCGGGCCCCGAAGATGCCGACGCTGCAGCCGGAGCTGGTGGTGCGCAGGAAGAAGGGGGGCGGCGGGCGCCAGGCAAAGGAGAAGGCGGGGGCCGAGAGGCACGAGCTGGACGCCGAGTCGTGGATGGTGTATCAGAGCCGCTCCAACAAGGGCGCCGGCCACCTCAAGAAGCTGAACAAGTTCGGGCTCCCGCTGAACAACACGGAGCAGAGGCCCGTGTCGCTCATCGCGCAGGCTGCCGTGTCGCCCAAGTTCAAGGAGTTCGGGCACCGGCCAATGCCGCCGCCCGGGATAACGGGGCGGCCGCCGCTGTCCCTGTCGCCTCCGGCTCTGCCCATGGGCGGCGGATTCCTTAAGCGGCCCGTGATGTTCGCCGCTCACGGAGCCGACGCCGCCGACGTGAACAAGCCCAAGAGGGGGCGGCCTCGGTCGAAACCCTCTCTGCAGAAGGACAAGCCGCTGATGGCGCTCGTTCCGCCGCTCGCCGCCACAGCCGCCGCCAAACCAGCAGCACCGGTGCCGCCCCCGATGAAGCGCACGATGCTCGGCATGTTCCACCAGCACGGCGGCGGCGGGGGCGGCGTCGGCTCGCTGGTCTGCCTGGACGAGAGCAGGCGGGGGAGAGGCAGGCCGAGGAAAATGGAGATGGGCATGGGTGGCATCATGCGTCCGTCACCTATGCTCTCCGCGGTTCGCGTGGGCGGCCATCTCGGTACCGCCGTCTTCGGGCGCCAGGAGCTGAAGGAGGGCGGCGCAGCGGCCGGCATCGACGGCGCCGGCGGCGGCCTCGAGATGGACGGCAAACGGTTTAAACGGTACAAGGATGACAACGACGCCTCGCCCACAGACGTCGCGCACCACGCAGAGCTGCAGGCCAAGAAGGACCGGCCAATGGTCGGCAAGGTACTGGACAAAAAATTGATCAAGAAGATCAACAAGATGAGGACACTGAAGCGAAAGAAGATCCTGAAGCAGATTTTGACGCCGGGAAACGCGATTCGGGAAAAGCCTCAACCGAGGGTGGCTGGGCCCGTTTCCACCATCGCAGCGGCGCTCGGCTCTCGGCTCAAGCAGCAGATCAACGTGAGCAAGCGTGGCACGATATACATCGGCAAGAAGAGAGGCCGCAAGCCCAAGGCCACGTCCGATGGCTGCCCAGTCTCCGGTCGGGGTAGCGCCCTCTTCGGCAGCGGCAGTGATTATGGCTCCAGTTTCAACCCGCTGAGGAGCCAGCAGCAGCACCTGCAACATCAGCATCTGCAGCACCAGCAGCATCAGCAGCACCTGCAGCACCTTCAGCACCTGCAGCACCTGCAGCACCAGCAGCACCTGCAGCACCACCAGCAGCAGCACCAGCAGCAGCACCAGCAGCACCGCGCCGGCGCACTGTCGCCGGCTGTGTCGCATCCGGGGCCTTCTTCGACACCGCAGCCGTCGCCCGCGCGCACGCACTTCTCCAGCTTTAGCGGCAACCAGAGCCCGCCGAGCAGCGACGCCGGCAGCTTTGTGGAGCCCACGCTGGCGCCGCCGCCCACTCCCCTGCAGCGCCGCTTCGTTCCCACGAAGGCGGCGCGCAAGTCCGTGCGGCCGCCCTCGCCGCCCAACTCTCCGTGCTGCCGCGCGCTCCCGGACGCCGCGATGATCCTGAAGGAGGCGACGCCGTCTCCCGCCAGCGAGTCGCACAGCGACGAGACGGTGCCCAGCGACAGCGGCATCGGCACCGACAACAACAGCACATCGGACCGCGGCGAGAAGGCCTGCGAGGGGCTGCGGCGCCGGCGGCAGCATTTCACGGGCGACGCGGCCTCGGCGGACGACATCTCCGCTTCGGCCGTGGCGGCGGCTGCCGAGCAGCAGGCGCTGAAAGCGTGCGCCGGCATCGCGGGGGCCGGTGCCGCCGGCGCCGGCGGCCCGGGTGTCATGGGCCCCGGGAAAGAGAAGAAGGCGCACCGGGGCAAGCGGCGGCACCGCGGCCTCATGGGCGACCTGCTGCTGTACGAGAAGCTGAAGAAGCAGAAGCGCAAGCGCAAGAAGAAATACCTGCAGATGCACGCGGCGCGGCAGGACCCGGGGTACCTGTCGGCGCTGGAGGACACCGTGCGCTGCCTGGCAGAGCTGCGCCTCACGCAGCGCGGGCCTCGCTACATCCCGCGCGACGTGCTGCCCTCCATCTTCCGCGTCAACTTCAGCCACTTTTACGCGCTGGCGCCGCCCTTCGCCTTCGACCCGTTGCACTACATCAGGCGGGCGCCGCCCGACCCGCGCGCCCTGGGCATGCGGCGGCGCGGGAGGCCCCCGAAGCCGTCCGACGGCTGCTCGCAATCGCCCGACGCGGTGGCGCCGCCTCCGCCCTTCCTGCCCGGCGTGGGCTACCCGCTGGCGACGGGTCGCTACTTCGACTCGTTCGGCCTGCCTTACATTTCGTCGCCGCCGCCTCCGCCTCCCCCCGTCACGACGAGCAGCCTGAGCCTGGGCTACTACGGGCAGTACCCGCCGCCCCTCTACCCGCCGCCCCCCATGCCGCCGCCGCCACCCGGGGCTCTGGCCAGTCGCCTGAGCCCGTTCGACTTCCGACTGGGGGCTCCGCTGGCGCTGCTCAACGGGCCGCCGCCGCCGCTGCCGCCGCCGCCGGCGTGCTACCGCAGCAAGAGGGCACGGCCGGTGAGCGGGCGGCACGGGAGCAAGCTACGGCGGCGCGAGCGCGAGGCCTCCGAGCACAGCTCTCCGGACACGTCGCCCGGTCCCCGCGCGCAGTTCCACGTGCAAGACGGGCGCTTCTCGGACGATGAGGATGAGGAGGAGGATGAGGAGGAGGAGGAGGAGGAAGAAGAGGAGGAGGATGAGGAGGAGGAAGAAGAGGAAGAAGAGGAAGAGGAGGAGGATGACGAGGAGGAGGATGACGAGGAGGAGGAGGAAGAGGAGGATGAGGGGAGGAGTGAGCATCGTGGACGGGAGGGAAGGGTGATGGCTGGGCGCTTGGCGTCTGTTTCTCGGTTGCAGGTGCGTCCTAGTGATGATCGTGCGGTCGAGGGAATTGTCTCTTGAGCTCCCGAGTTAATTCTTTAACTTTGTAACCCATCAGTGGCCAAACATACTGAGCTGAATAGCTCTCCGATTGTGCTCTTGGGTTGTTACCGCACGTCTCGCTCCACTTGCTGGGAACTTCTTCTTTAGGGACAATTCATAAAGGAGCTCCCAGCACGTGGAGTGAAACGTCGGACATCGTTGCCAAACAACAATTAAAGCCGAAAACACAAATCCGGGTTCTGTAGCACGACCGCGAAAACGGCAAAAGTACAATTCTCATCGTTTATTACTCTAATGACATCCACAGTGATCGCTGAGCTCCAGAACATCCGCTTGTTACTTCTCTTGCAGCCAAGACCGTACGACGCCATCAACGAGTCGATTGACGCGTGCGTGCGGAGGTACTCGCAGCCCGGCTCCGCCAACGCCTTCCCGTGGCGGTCGCGCGACTGCGTCAGCGGTGGCGCCGGCTACCGCCGAGGCTCGCTCGACGAGAGGGCCCGGGGCCGCCCGCCTGCCGACATGACATCCCCGACCTTCATGGGTGAGTCGCGTAGTGGCGTCGGCTCTCTGTCTCTGTCGACGTCCGGCGCCTTCCGCTTTTGAGGGGGTTGGCGCGGGCCCGTGGCGCTGTGGTGGCGAGATGTTAACTGCCAAGCCTGGTATACAGGAGGTCGTGGGTTTGATACGGACCGTGACATCTGTCTCTCACCGTAATCACGTATATTTTTCTCCGGGTCCTCTTGATTAATCTCTCCACATTTAGAGTCAACATGCGTTTCGAGTATTTTGCTGCTATAAATTTCCACATGATGATGAGCTGCTTCGTTGGGCTATCATTTGTGGCCAGGTGGGGCCTTACCTTGTAAAATAAAAATAGTTTAGTTTTAGTCGATCCTCCTCTTCCCCCTGACGCCCCGTCGGACACGACCACCTGCCAACGCCACTCGTCGATCTAATTTACGATTTGACCTCCCGGCGATTCGGTGATTCGTCACGAATCCGATGGTCGCGATTCCATTTAAAAGCTACCCAATGTGGTATCGACTGCAAACTTGGTATACTTATGTCATATTGATGACAATACCATATTCTAGCATAAAAAAAGTGTTAAACTATATTTTTACACGCTTTCTCTGCACTCTGTTGTTGTTGTATCCTCAAATCTTGTATCTCAATTTTAACCCACTTTCCAATGTGGTATCGACTGCAAACTTGGTATACTTATGTCATACTGATGACAATACTATATTCTATCATAAAAATATATAAAAGTATTTTTAAACATTCATTTTTATATTTTATGTTTCGGCTTGGGTCTAATTGTCCACTCTCAACTGACGTTGGCTGTAAATCACGACGGTCCCTTACGTTATGGCAAGCTTCGGGGCCACTTCCTGGAGTCGTGGAGTTCTGCCATTACTCGTACGCTACATTTCATTAAAGTGTCTTTTTAAAAAAGTATTTTAAAATATTACTTATTTTTCAACCACAACCAGAGGCAGCTGGATATGTTATCTCTACCCTGATCCAACCCCGACCCCCCTTCCTCCCTCCCCTGTATAATACTGTCAGTTGCTTTTAGTTGCGAGGCCCTCGGGAAGGTATTATAATTTGAAACCCAAGTAAGGAGGTGCCTTCCATCACACGCGTTTATTCGACAGTCGATTTTTCGGGTTTTTTTCGGTCACCCCTGTTGGGGTACTTCCTCGTTCGAACTCCGTCCCGGCACATCTACTCTGCCAGGGTACCTTGAACCCAAACAACATTTCCGTCACGCGGCAATCCCGTCCCGCGTGAAAGGTGCCGAGGCCCACATGAGCTTCACTGCAAAGCCTCCCTCGCCGGAAGTGCACTACTCTCCTACATTGCGCAGGGTGGTATGACCGCAGGCTTGCGGTTGGCGACCCTTGAAAAGAAAGCACTCCAAGCTGCCCTAAAATATATTGCACACGTCATTGATGCTTGAGCTTTTTTTCGTGTTTTATTTTCTTCCACCCTTCCCCCCCACAGCATTTAACTATCTTAAGGTTTGCACACCTACAACTAGATCGCTATAGGAATGCGCCCGATCTCGTCTGATCACGGAAGCTAAAAAAGCAGGGCTGAGTCCCAGTGAGTGCTCCACTGGGCAACCGCCGCACATACAAAAACAGGTGTTATAGGCTACTGCCGCTTTGTTGTCGGCAGTACAGGGCAGTGCAAGGCGGTCCATTGCTGTACTGTACTTCCATGCTCCCTCCCTTCACCAACGCACCTCCACTGACCACCGCGGTAAAGTTGTGCTCAACCTCCCGTGACTTGACGACGCCATGGGAAGGCCCCTCGTCCAACAGTCGATTTGGCAAAGGACTGCACGCGCACGCATTGGTAATTCGTTTTCCGTAGGACACAACGGTGAACTTTGAACGTTCATCTCGGCGATACGTTCACAGCGTCCGCTACACTTGGGGCTGAGATTAAACATTCCTCGGTAATAATCCCCCCGTTGGAAGCAAGGGGCCAGGAAGGTGACGCACCTTTAAGGCCCCCCAGGCTTTTTGCTTCAGGTGTCAAGGTTACTTCACTCTACCCCCCCCCCCCCCCCCCCCACATTGGCCTCCACCACCCAACCCTCTCCCCTCCACACCAACACAAAGATCGTCCTTGGTGTGACACGCACTGACTGTTGGGGCGAGAAGCTCTGTTCGCGATCGCTTACGGGGCTGCAACAGCACACGAGGGGATGGTGTGGCCAGTGCCAAATGATGCTGTTTGCATACTGCAACAGCCGCCATTTTCGGGCTGAGTCGATCTAGGGGAAGGCCAGATACCCACCTCTAATGTTGACCATTTAACGCAAGTTGAACTGAGGTTGCCGGCTTCTTAGCACCGTGCGCTGAGCGCTGCACTACCGCTCCCCCCTCACCCCGCCCGCACACATCACCCCACATGCCAATTCCCACACATGCCTCAAAGGTGTGGACAAGGAAGGGCGATTAATGGAACATTCTTGAGCTGCCCAAGGAGACGAGGTGCTCTTAGGTGGGGGGGTGAGGGCGGGGTGCCGGGGTAAATTGGAGCCTAATCTCGCTTGGAATGTGGCCATAGCAGCGCTTGTCCAAACCTGCAAGTGGCCATCAGCACTTAGGGTGATGAAATCGGACATCGGTTTGTCAAAAATCTTTTTCAGAATCGATCATCGGCCTCAAAGGTCCATGGATTTGATCGTCAAATCGGGTTCAGCATTCGTAACGATCAACCGATCGGCATGCACGCACGCGCGAATGTTGAAACCGCGTGGCGCGTTTCAACATGATTGGGTCAAGCGGTTGCCTTCGTGCAGGGGGCACCAGTGGCACCGGGGTCATCTGGCACCACGTGCTACTTTTCCACAGACCAACGGTACTTTTATTTTGCGATTATTGACAAAACGTAAAACAAAAACTAGCCCCAATGAGAGCACCATCCACTCTGTCCGATGGCTCCGAGTGACTTGATTAGCAAACGATAATAGCGCCCGTTCTCCTATCAATCGACTGCTGGATGAAAGCCTCCTTATGCCATATCGGTCTTGAGGGTTGGTTAACCGTGTTTCCACACGCTCGTCTGTGCCGAGCCTTGGATTTGCGGGGTGGGGGGGGGAGATCGAAGGAGCGGTTCGCATATCACTCGCCTCTGTTAGCCGTGGCCCGCGCATCGATGATTAAGTGCAATGCTCTAACCACTGCACCGCCACTCGCACAACCCTATTATTGCAACGTTTAAAGTGCCAATTTAGATTGCGAAACGTTAAAACCTCGAGTACGTTTTGGATACGAAGGCCATTCCGCATTCCTTCGTTACGTTGTTGCAGTTAAGAGAGGCTGGTGATGGGCCGCGTGATACCATTGGGGTGCCGGTAACTACAGAGGTCAGGAAACAAACTAGACAAGACCGGTCGGTCAGTCAACGGTGGTTGTTTGTCTCACTTATCGTTTGACTCCCCCCTCCCCCCCAATTGCCGAAGCATATGTCACTAAATTTCGATTTAAAGCTTTCGTGACTGCAGGGATTCATCTTCTTGGTTCTTTCGGTAAAGTCACGTAGAAGGGAAATAATAAAATAATAAAATATTTTTTTTAAATAATTCTCACGACGTTTTGGCCACAACGCAAGCAGCCGTCCCTCAGATGAAGAACAGGTCTGTCGGTAAGACAACGTCTGAATGAAAAAAAGGGTAACCTTCAGACGCTGTCTTTCCGACAGACCTGTTCTTCACCTGAGGACGGCTGCTTGCGTGTTGTGGCCGAAACGTCGTGAGAATTATTTTATTATGTTTTATTTTTATTATTTTATTATTTCCCTTCTAAGTGACTTTTCCGAAAGAACCAAGAAGACATATGTCACTATTTCACTTTGGAGAGCATTTCCTCCCCAGCTGAGGCCACCGCACAACCCTACCCCTTCTCACCACCGCCAGATTCGCCCCCTGCCGCCCCCCCCGTGCTCGTTGTTGGCGATCAGCGAGGCCCAACCGCTCGCACCTTCCCAACCGCCGCTTCCTCCTGGGTGGCTCGCGAGGGTCACGAGGTCGCGCGCATGCGGCCGTTAACGCAGCGAGACCCTTTGAACCCGGATATCCCTGCAGCTTGCCGCCGGAAGATTTGTTGCGTCTGGGGACTCCATCCCCCCCCCTCCCCCACAGCCTTTGCTTGCTGGCCGCCATCGCAGGCCAGCCACCGCGCGAAGAGGAGACGTGCGGCTTCCAAGTGATATCAGTTCTGCGCCGTGCACCGTCACTGGAAAAATTGCACTGTCCGCCGATATAAGGGAACTCCCTTGCCTCTTGACAAGTGTCAGAGCCCCCCGGGCAGAAGCACAAGCACATCCGTGTGGTCCCATCGCCGGCCCTCGGGCCATCTGTGCGAGATCAGTCTTAATCTTCTGCCCAGAGTAGCGCAGAAATGGATTAGTCGTTTTGTTTGGGCGTTCACTTGGATGTGCGTCGAGGCCTTTGCGCCGCCTTCCCCGGTCAAGAGGAGCTGTGACCGTCCTTGATCCACGTGCGAGGACCACCTCGCACGTGTCTGCCTCGACACCTCCCTCCTGCCGGCGGTGTGCTGGCGACGATCGTCATCCACGGCGCGCGGAGCGGTTCCGTTGGGTGGCTTTTCTCGGCCGGCCATTGGGGGGCCGCCAGAGGTCGCAACCGGGTACCCGATACCCGTACCCTACCCGATACCCGGCTACCCGTACCCGGCCGGGTACGGGTACGGGTACCCATTTGCGACCCTGGTGCGGCCGGGTACGGGTAAGGAATCAAAACCCGTTTGCGACCTCGGGGGGCCGCGCAAGATTTTATAGACTTGTGCCAGGCACCGTTTTTTTTTTGCAGTCGACATTTGCTGCCGTTGGGCGGTTTCTGTCTCTCATCTTGCACGACTCCCCTTCCACTCCAGCAACCAAGGCTTTCTCTCGAATCGTCCAGGCAAAAGCTAGCTCGCTGGGAGGTCCACTCATTCTTCTCTACTGCTCTCATGGTCTGGGTTATCCTTAACCCAGACATCTGTCCTGTCGACTGCC